TTTTTTTTTTTTTTTTTTTTGCGCTTGGGGCGGCAGAAATGCTGGAGCCAGCCCTGTCAAGGCTGCTTTGTTTTCTATGTTGTCTAACAATATAAAACACCCTACATTTTCAAGGGAAGAAAGCAGAAACCACAACAATCAAGTTATTTGAGTTCCTAGCTAGACAGGACACACAAAGGCAGCTTCCCTCTCTCCCCCCACTAACAATCACTGTCAATGAAACGAGGATCCATTTCATGTATCTGATGTGATGTGCATAATAATCTATGATCCTTAAGAACTGATCTTACTTATTCCCATGAGGTTGAGGGTAAATATAGAGAATTTCACCAGATACACTGGAGATCTGTTTGTGGCTAAATAGCATTTTGAAAAAATTATCCTTATAGAGATAACAAGCAGAACCTCCATCCAAACAAGTAGAAAAAAAAAATGAACAGCAGTCTGTAACTGGATGACTAAAAACCACAGACAGCCTGGCATAGCCTGTAGGAGCCCCCTGCATCTTGTATAAATGGTCCAGAGATCACAGATGTGTCTATTGTAGCACACTCCATGCCTGTCTGGCAGTCAGAGGACACCTGTGCCTGAACACACAGAAGAACTCAGGGATCAGTACGTTAGTTAACAGGCTGCCATGGAGACCCATGAATCTGTTAATATGTGCCTGAAAATCAAGTCTGTCCATCAGCACTAAACAATAAATATAATCATCTGGATAACTTCAATACTCACCACTTTGGCAGTTTTAGCAGGTGAGGGGGGACCTAAAGAGAAAAAAGGAAAATATCTGACTATAAGAAGCAACTTTAATGATTAAAAACCCACTATTTTACATTGAACAGAGCCAATATGCTCAGCTCTTAATTCTTGGCTTGCAACTGATCACTGTTCATTCACTCCCCTTGTGAAGGCATAAGGTTTGCTATATGTTCTATGGTTCTTTTAAAATTCTAAGTGAATATTTACTTGGCCAACAATATTGACTAGCAGAGGTCCCTTAAATGGCAACTAACAAACAACACACATTTCTCATGCTGCCAGGGCCTGTGGTTTGAAGATACATACTCCAATTAATGTGCTGAGGTAAGTTAATGAGTTTGGCTGGTAGAACACTATTTACTACCAAGGAAATCTGATTTTTTTCCCTCATTGCTAGTCAAACTGGAAATGGTAACACTTATATAGTGAAGACTTTGGTGTCTTTGCAAATGTTAGGCATGTTTTTGAGGTGGTTTTCCTGAGGCTGGAAGAAGAGCCTGCAAGGGGCTCTGAGGGTCAGATCTCACCTTGCAAACAAGTTTCTACAATACAGGTCATCACTGACAAGGCTCTGTTGTGCTTCCCACAGGACCAACAATGCTGAATCCCTGGTAGCTTTCTAGATGGAGATATATTAACAAAGAGGAGATGTCAATGTGACAGTTGGCTTGTTCTTGCAGGCTCTGACCCAAAAACTATTGACGTCAATGGGAATCCCTTTATTTGTTTACTGGGCTTTGGATCAGGCCCTTGCCTATTCTTCTTTACCCATCACGTTAATATGAGTTAGGCAAATGTGTTATTTGTCTCTCTACTTCGTGTTTTGTTTGAGCAGTTGGCAGATATGGTTATAGTCAATAGTACTCATGGTCTATTCAGGGTGGTGAGGGTAAAGGGGGGCCTTCAGGATTGGTGACTAAAATGACGACACCAGCACAGTCCGCTCTCTCAGCACAATATCCTTCTTGCCTTTATAAATGTTCCATGAGCACTAGTCAGCATGGAAGAAGCTATAGCTAAACTGAATTCTGCCCTCCCAGCATGCAGAAATGAATGTTAGACTTGATTTCTGCCTCTCAGCAGAAAAAAATGTCGCTTTATGCTGGTCTCCAGCACACTATCCACAGAGTATTAATAGATAGTCAGCCTATACCTTACAGTAAGCCATAGAGGGGAAGTGAATGTGTTTGTTTAGTCAGGAAAAGCAAATCAGATCAATCAGCACTTTTCCTCTGAGTGGAGTGCTGAAATCTCTACAACATAGCAAGATGGGCATAAACAATGGTACAGTAATGATATTTTACTATGGTTTATCTGCCACACTGAAAGGTGCTGTCAGGGTGTCCAGAGAAGAAGAGAGAAACAAAAGAGTGAACAAGATAAAAGTTTCTCAAGATAAAAGAAAAGATGCCCCGTTTGCATAGAATGCTCACATGAAGAACATTCTAGAGTTCATTCCAATAAAAACATCAGCTGCTCAGAAACGGAGAATGGAGACATCCCTTAGGAGCATGATCTGGAAAAGAGAACTAGGAAGGGGGAATTCTTGGTTCTCTTCCTGACTAAGCTGAATTACTGAGTGACCTTGGATAAATCGCTAACTTCTGAGTGTCAGTTTGTTCAGAGGCACCAGGGGGCAGAAGGGTTAATTTGTTAATGTGTGTAAACATCATTATTATGAATAATTAAGTGTTGATAATTAATAATTAAGTTGAGATGCTTCGACAAATTAGGTCATATAAATGCAAAGTATTATTATGGTTACTGCATCACATATCCTCAAAAAGGGTCAATTATTTTGTGGGCTGAGATTATATTGTGGGCATCAGCAGCAATCCCTGTGGGGATCTTTGATAAAACAGCCTGTGCCCATTTCCTTTGCCTCTGTTGGCAATATAAAGGGTGAGATAATGTCAGTAAGATACCTTATTGCAGCAAAACGCAATATATTAAGTCACTATAAATAATACAATATGAATATTCTCAGGAATCAAATAACAGATATAAAAAAATAGAAGAAAAAAGTTGTAGAGGGCACCAATGAGCTCATTAATAACCAGGAAACTGCACAGAAAGGATCCTGTCTGGCAGCCATCAGACTGAGCCTTCTGGCAAATGCACGCTAATTACCAGTTAGTCTATGGGGAGAGGAGATGTTCCGATCTGCAATGAACGGCAATTAAGAGAGAGAAATACACGCAAAAACGGGAACTTTCCAGAGTTCCAGGTGGCAAGGCCCATGTTATCTTAAAGACGCTTCCCTCCAAGACGCCTGCGATCACCTTCATAGTATAAGCCAAAGCCTCTGGACCACCCGCAAAAGGAGAAAGAAAAGGCCCTATTCCTTGCTATCTTCAGGTCAGTCTGTGAGATGTGCACCTTTGCCCTAATATTCCCTGAAGAGCCAGAACAGACTGTGCATTCAGCAGCAGCCTACAATCAAATCTACAGTAAAACATAGAACTAATAACATGCTCAATACCAGGGGCATGGTTTACACCTAGAGCAGGGTAGAGAATTGAGCTGACAGCCCGTTTTCTTCTTTTTAAAGCTTTGTACAGTGCTTAGATATCACTTTCTAAACACCTCCATATTAGACAGGATAAATTATAATAAAGTCTCATTCCTACCCACCTCCCCTTAAGATAAGCAGCGGGACCTCGGCTCCCACTGGAAACTGCTTCAGCACCTCCACCACCTGCAGATGTGTCAAGTTTTGTACGTTCTGATGGTAAATCTCTTGGATTACATCTCCCTTCTGAAGGCCGTGGCACCACTGGCTGTCTAAAATCATCTTCACTTTCTGCCCTGTAGGGCTGTCTGCGATTGCAAACCCAAATCCTTTAGGGCCCTTGACCAGAGGAATAGTGATTAGTTCTGGCTGGGAGCCTCCTGGAGAGGATACGGAGATCCTCTGTTCATTTGGGTCCATAGAAGGGCTGTTCAGGCGACCATTGACCAAAATGTGACCCGGTTTCCCATTTTGGTCTAAAATGACTGTTCCAGGTATTAAATCTTGGCTGGTTATGCAGATATCTCCCTTGGTCATTGGCTGGCCATTGATGATGGGTGTAGCTGTAACGATGTCTACAGCAGGATCTTCGTTGTCATCAGGAAGCGGGTAACCGCGACACAAAGTCATATTCACATACTGGTTGACAGGAACTAGCTGAAACATCTGAACAACATCTGCATGGGTATGGCCAAGGACACAGCTGCCATTTATGTCTACAATGACGTCACCTGTTATAAAAATGAGTTCAACATCATTAAAATCAGAAACTAAACCATATCTACTTTTCAAATATTCTAATCTATGGCACAGAATGAAACACTTACCATCCCCTTAGTAACTACAAAGCGAGATTATGGGCAATTATTTAAGATATTAGTGAATAGGGGGCTGTGTCATTCCCCTAAGCCATATGCTACCAGAATGGTAGGATTTTCTCTTAGCTGAAATATAGACTACTAAATTAAAAAGACACTCTTCTAAATATATAAAATTTAATCTGCCGCAGATTTAGAGAATGACACTATATGGGCTTCAGAAAAGGAAACAGTGCACATATTAGTGCAAACAGCTGTCTTATACTTTAATTCATGTTATACAACAGTCTAAACTCAATCCAGAATGAATCAGATTTTTTTTTTCTGGTTTCTGTTGGATTGGCTAAACTTAAACTAAGATTCTACACACAGTTCCCTGAGTGCCTCTCTATATTTTGTATTTTGATTTTGCTTCGACTGAAAATACATTCTGTGCATATTAAATAGCAGCAAGTGTTACATCTTGGAAGTCTGTTTCAGCATGTGAACATTTTTGAGCATGGAAATATTTCCAGTTAGCAAACTCGCCAATCACTTAGGCCTATTTGGACATAAGCTTTCATGGGTAAAAAACCTACTTCTTCAGACGCATGGAGTGAAAATTACAGATACAGGCATAAATATATATTGGCACATGCAGAGAAGGGAGTTGTAAGTTAACTCCCTTCTCTGCATGTGCCAATATATATTTATGCCTGTATCTGTAATTTTCACTCAATGCGTCTGAAGAAGTGGGTTTTTTTACCCACGAAAGCTTATGCCCAAATAAATCTGTTAGACTTTAAGGTGCTACCAAACTCCTCGTTATTTTTGTGGATACAGACTAACACAGCTACCCCTCTGACACTTAGGTTTCTTTGTCTCCAAAATAATAACTCTTATATAAGAATAATTATATTTACAGACATACTATTTTCCATATGAAAATCTCAAAGCACTATACAATAATGGTAAGATACTATCCTCATTTTTACATATGGGGAATATGAAAGACAAGAAAAGTAGTTTGCCAAGGTCAAAGCACAGGTCAGCAGCAGAGATAGGAATTAGTCACTAAGTTCTTTTGTTATCTGAATTAGTATTAAAGCTGTTAAGTATAAAGTTATTTTCTTACCAGAACAGTAAGAGTGGTTATCCAATACACAGGGGTATGGGAACACATCTTAGTGAAGGCAGTATAAATTATAGGTTCCAGAGACAATGTAATTAAACCACGGTAACTAATATCCACAATGTGCTTAATTCCTCACACTGTGCAGGGTTTTCTCACCTCTCTTGCCTCCCCATTTGCCCATTCTGTGTTGCTTTATTTATTCCTACTGCTGTTCCGCTGTCAGTTTTAACATTTGACATTTTACTTTTGGCAGCGACCACTCACAACATAGACCTGGATCCAAATTTGCTCCCAGGCAGAGAAAATGCACTGTTTTTACATTACATGTATACAGGGAGCAGAGACATTCAATAAATGACTGAACAAGTCCTAAATCTTATGAAGCTGTTTATACAGAAGAGTATATACTTATGTATAGCTTAAAAAGCAGAAATAGAGCTGAAATAAATGGTTACTTTCCAGGGAGAAGGCCATATATTTGTAAATGTTAATGGAATAAATAATACCTATCTATTATATAGCACTTTTCATCAGCAGATCTCAAAAGTGCTTTACAAAGGAGATCAGTATCATCATCTTCATTTTACAGATGGGGAATATGGGGCACAGAGCAAATGTGATTTTCCCAAGGTCACCCAGAAGGCCAGGGCAGAGCCGGGAATCGAATTCAGGTCTCCCAAGTCCCAGACCAGTGCTCTAATAATTAGATCACATGCAAGCCACAGGAAGTGTTTCATTCAAATAAGTTGGTAAGCGAAGGCATATTGCACTTATATACTGACAATCTGTTTTATACTTCTTTAAAATTTAAATTAAACGAGAGAAAAAGAACTTGAGAAAAATGAAGGAACAAGCAACACAGCCAAGGAAGATTTAAGTCAAATGTTTCCACAGCCCTCATGTAAGCAATTTAAATATACAAGAATAATATGCAATGCCACATAAGCCCGCTGTTATGTCATGCATGGTTAAGATAAACCAGAATCTAAAATTAGAAAATCCTGCAAGAATGAAGAGCAGCTGCGACTCATCCCAGCTCAGAACTGGAAAAGGAGAGTTAAAAAAAAAAAATCAAGACTTAAAAGAGCAAATGTTATTAGTCTTGAAGTCACCCCAATCCTTTAAAATGGTGATTAGTGCATGTTCCTTTGAAAGGAAAAGGCTGTTCCCTGAATAATTTTTTTGTTTCTTATAAAGGCCACTCAGGGAATTTGTTTTTTTAACTGTATTATTCGTTGTTGTTTATTAACCAGAGCTTTCAGAAGCAGATAATCAAAACTTACTTCCCTGTGATATTTTTCCTTCATCGGGAGGCTTTGTGGCCATGGGCTAGGGTGCATGTGCATACAGAAATTTGTTATAGGGTCATTTGAGAGTGTGAGGTTGCTGACAACAATTTTTGGTTTTCCTAACAGAAAAGTTGAGCATTAAGCATTTATGTGGGAACCAATCCTCTTCAGATTTTAAGTGGACACCTCAGGATTCAAAGGCGCAGGATTGCTCACGCTACTGAAAGTGCTATCAAAATATCTGACTTTGCCAAAAAAAAAAAAAATGTAAATAGGGTATGTGGCATTCAGTACAATGTCTGCCTGGCAATGGACCAGAGAGACAAGGTGGGTACGGTAATATCTTTTATTGGATCAACTTCTATTGGTGAAAGACAAGCTGTTGATCTATTCAGAGCTCTTTTTCAGGTCTGGGAAAAGTACTCAGTGTCATAACTAAATACAAGGTGGAAAAGATTGTTTTGCATAAGTAGTTAACACACAGTCTAGGAGACCATTCAAGGTGAAGTGGCCCGTTAACACCTCTCCAGTCAAAGGACAAAGAAGGGGGGTTACAGATTGTTGTAAAAACCGTACATGCAGTATCTTTATTAAGACCATGACTTTTAGTGTCTAGCAAACCTATGAATTTAAGAATCCATGCTTCTTTTGAACGTGTTGTGCATGTTTCCTCTGAGGATGAGGACTGAGAAGTCAGATATACAGTGATTGTTTTGTGAAAAGTGTTCGCCCCCAGATGATACAGTGGTTTTGGACTTTTATCATTTTTCTGTGTGAATTCATTGGAGAGCATAGTGATTGTCTGGTTTCACCCACACGTAGTATTTATGGGGGCAGAACTATGACAGCACCCCTTTTGTCTGCTGGTTTGATCACTATCTGGTGGTTGGATTTCAGGGACTGCATAGCTGTCCTCTCAGCGGTGGAGAGATTGTGGTGGATGTGATCTGTGTTAAGAATTTCAGTGTCAATTTTTTTCCTGAAGCAATCAGTGTAATGATTAAGTGTGTGATTTCGTCCACTGTGGGGTGCCCAGTCAGATGATTCTTTTTTTCTTCTGACTGTTGATGGGGATGTGGTAGGTAAGGGTGTCATCATTATTGTGAAAGAATTATTTGAGGCGGAGTCAGCGAAAGAATTCTTCTAGTTCTCCACGTTAGTATGGTATCAGGTTCTGCCATGGGGCAGAAGTTCAATCACTTGGGGAGTACAGATTATTCAACTGGAGCTGAATGGTCTTAATAAATCGATGATGTTGGGGTTTTGTGTAGTGTCAATGTGGGACCTGGTGCCATGGTTTTGCCCAGTGTTTGTGTTCTGTGGATTGTGGAGTTGTTGTAGCTGGTTCCACTCTTTGTTTCTGTGCTGGACAGCTGTCACCAGGTTTGGGTTGTTTGTTTCTTTGTTTTTTTTAATTAATAGTTTTGGGTTTTTTCCATGATCTCCAGGTAGATTTCCTGATTTTTTCTTTCCAGTGTATGGGAGTATGCGATGATTTCTTGTTTGGGATGTCCCTTCTGGAGTATGTGAAGCGCAGGAGACGGTTCCTCAGTTTTTCTGAAGTCCTTCTGCAGAGCTGTTCGCTATATTTGGAGTTGTATGTTGTGGTCAGAGGGTTATAGATAGTGAGCCCTCTGAGGAGAATACTTTGTTTCTTGCATTTGCTCAGGAAGTAGATGTCAATGTTAAGTTTTGTTTCCTTTTTCTTCATGTTGTGGAGTTTGTATTTCATGGCAATGGACTAAGAATTTTATGAAGGCATCAGTATTGCATCATCATGGAGGGGGGAAAATATACTTAAATAGAAAGAGTAAGCTATACAAATTCTGTTCCTTTATTAAACTGGAGAGACAGTAACATAACCTACAGCTGTAAGTTCAAGAGAATTCATAGTACAGGAATGTGTGCATTAAAGACATGTAAGCACAGACATTCCCTACAAATGCCTGCAGCTGATGAGAACAGGTGCTGTCCACAAATGCAGGAAATCCTTGCTATGCCACTTCAAATATAGCAGAGCATAGTGTGTGATTTGCTAGAACCACCAACCTTTATCTTTACTGCACATACTGCGCAGGAACCACTCTCATCGCAAGTGTTGCCTACTTGTGCTTTGAGTGCTTTCTTTACTGGATTCCTTGCCTTACAAGTGCCTGGTAGGAAAAACTGACAGGTAACACATACTGCAGGTGGATTAGCAGCAATGCATGGAACCACTAGAAAGCAAAAGCCACTGAAGTGACATGGATTTTCAAGAAGCTTTGTTAAAGCGTAGGCATCATGTCCAAATACCAGCAAAAAACCCTCTTTTCTGTCTTATTTATAGCCTTTGAGCTGAAAAATGTTGCTCAGTGATTGACAGAATTTGTGCAATGGAAATGCAATGCAATGTATCACTAGATCAGGCCTGCACAACATGCGGCCCGCCTGGGCTCACTGTGCGGCCCGCGGGGGTTGAGTAGATGGGCTCACTGTGCGGCCTGCGGGTGGGCGGGGGGGGTGAGTAGGCAAGCAGCAGGTGAGGGAGGGGGGCCGAGCAGGCAGGCAGTGGCGGGGAATGAGTAGGCGAGCCGGGTGGGTGGAGGGCTGAGGAGGCGGGCGGGCGGGCACTGGCAGGGGGGGCAGGTGAGCCGGTGGCGGGGGAGGGGGGGCGGAGGAGGCAAGCGGGCGGGCAGTGGCGGGGGGGCAGGTGAGCCAGCGAGCCGGAGAGGTGGAGGGC